TTATCGATTGATAAAAATCAATATGCACGCCTCTACTCCCATACATTCACTCCAATCGTGTTGTTTGATCTTTATGCCAAGACTTCAGAAAGGAGTGCGGACTGTCTCAGCACACCACAAAAGTATGGGTGGGTCAGGATTTTTGTATTGGGCTGGGTGTGGCACCTGTAGCACACAGGCTAAAGATAGAATTGAAGCACCGGGTGAGGCATCTTAAAAAAAAAATAAAAAAATTTAAAAGATGGAATGCTTTTTAGTTCTGCTGAAATGGAAGCTTAGGTCGGAGACAGAGACAGAAATCTATTGACTGATATTATATATATATATATATATATATATATGTTGGATATTCATGATATATCATATATATATATATATATATATATATATATATATATATTGGATATCAGTCATGATATATCATATATATATATATATATATATATATATATTGGATATCAATCATGATATATCATATATATATATATATATATATATATATATATATGTGTGTGTGTGTGTGTGTTGGATATCAGTCTTATATATATATATAATTAATAAACAATAAAATCAACATTATTTACATTATTCGGACTATTGTCCTCATCTTTGTCATGATATTTATCAAACATTTTTTTGGAACTAGAACAGTCTACCCCAGTGAGGTAGAAATAAAGGGTTGGGTTCGACATTCCAACCACCTGAAGAAGGCGGGCGTGCAACAGCCAAACGTTGTGATAAATATGGTGACAAAGATGAGGACAATAGTCCGAATAATGTTAATAATGTACATAATACCTCATCTCAGAAATATAGACAGACAATAAAATCCAAATCTGACTTAAACATTGAAATGGATAAATTCGGTATTAGTTTTTGACAGATTGTTTTTTTTTTAGCTTTCACAATTAATTCTACTTGCTGGTTCTCCTAACTGTATAAACAAGAACACAGTCCACACCAGGGTTAATAAGACAGATGACTGATATCTTCGTCAAGCAAAATAGGCTATTCCCCATAAGGGGTCTCTATTAATAGATACATTGAGCTCTTTTTTGTGGATCAGTTTTAATATTTTACATTACTAGGATCCTCTTAGATTATATACCAAAAATTTTTTTACCATTATTTTTATATATATATATATATATATATATATATATATATATATATGTATATAATGTCATCCACATACAGGTCTGTTTTGCTGTATCACAGCTCATCAATGCAGCTAGATATCTGATTGCTTCAAGCCGATTGCATATCATTCATATATATACTGGACTCTCCCATTGATTTTGATGTATAAGCATCAAGCAATTCAGTTCCTAAAAACCAACAACCAGAGTACTCGCACAAATCAGTGATGAAAGTTTGTGCAGAACTAACCAGACTTTTTGGAAGAGCCAAATACAAAGAACTGTTGCACAATGTGCCATAAGGTCTCAAAACAACCCTCCACTGGATTTGGATTCAAGGGTTGTCCTTCTCCTAGAGTGGTTGTCACCCAAGGCTATAGAACCTAGTCTTTCCTGCTATTTACCCATAGCTGAGGGGAGAAGAAGAGGACTCATACCTTTTCCAAGGCTATTAGCACATAAGTGAATGCAATGGATTCAACTGGAATTCAAACTCAGCTCTTCGATTCTTCAATCCTAGTGACTATCCATTGCTACACTCTGTCATGTAAATATATATATATATATATATATATATATATATATATATATATATATATATTCAAAACAGGTTCGGCTAAATAATTTAGAAACATTTTTACTGTCCATTTTACTGTGTTTTTTATCGTTCTATATCAATTTCAAAATCCACAAGGTATTTTTTTCCATGCAAGGGTGGCAACTTTTGTATTTCTTAATGTATTATTATTTTTTATTTTCATATATATATATATATATATATATATATATATATAAGACTTTGCTGCTACAAACATTTAAGAACTTTTTTGCTATACTCATGACTTTATTTTTGGCTATAATTGTCTTATATAAAGGTCTTCTAGTATTTTAAGTTTTGCTTATTATTATTATTTTAGTGCAATATAGATGTATTTTGAACTAATATCTGTCTAAATTGAGAATATGTACATCAGTGTTCCTTTAAATGCAGTAAGAGTGAACTATGCTCATCCAAGTGAAATGTAAGCCTTCTTGTCATCATTGTCGTTGCAAAACCAACATACATATTAACATTTTTATCAGAGATGCAATCTCCTAAAGGACATCTAAATTGATATACAATGTCGGCCTTTTATAAGATACTAGTTGAGAGAGAAATTTCTTTTCACAACTAGATTGGTTGCTTTAAATTGACTATAGTATATAACCAACCTGACTTTTTTACTTGGATCAGTGGGGGATACATTAGTGTTTATGAGTCTTTAGAATTCTTTCCTCCTGCTTATAGTTAGAATGCATTTGATTACAGTATAGTAATTTAATATGTTTAGAGTTATTTGATGATGTATTCATTTTTATTCATGTTTATATTCCTAATAGCTTGTCTAATTTGTTCATCAACAACATAATTAGGAAAGTCACTATTAATGAGGGTTGTTTAATAGTTTTTAATTCTGTATAGAAAATCCTTTTTGTTGAAGTATTTGATTTTGCACGGTTTGTTAAGTTTTGTAGAATACTATTCTGTAATGATTAGGACATTCACGTTTATATTTAAGAGTGCACATGTTTATGTTAGTTGGGTTTTTATATGGCGAGGTAGTAAATATAATATTATTACTGTCTATCAATACATCAAGAAATGGGATTTTTTTTGTCCTTGTTAAGTTCATACATGAACTTAAGTACAGAGTTTTTTTAAGTTTTTTAATTCATGTATTTCATTTTTGTCTTTGACTAAAATGAGAATGTCATCTTCATATCTTAGGTAAATAGAGTTTTTTTTTTTGTTTTTTGGTATTAAGTACATTATGTTACAGGTTAGTCATGTAGAAATTGGTAAATGTTGGTCCAAGAAAGGAACCCACAGACACACCATCGCATTGTTCATATATCTTATTTTGGTGGTCATAAAATGAAACTTCTGTAGTGCACATCAAGAGTAGTTTTTTTTTAAATATTAGGACAAATTTTTAATGGAGGGAGAGATGGATTGTTTTAGATATTATTTATCATTATATCCATCGTTTCTCTGAGTGGGATGTTATTGGATAAATTTTCAACATGGAATGATGCTAAAGTTTCATTATTGGGTTTTTTTCTTTTTAGAATTTGGAGTAGTTCATGTGTTGACTTTATGCTGTATTTATTTGGAATGTAAGGTGTAATTAGTTGATTAAGAACTTTAGTTAGTTGGTAAACAGGGGTTGGGATTTGGGCTATGATAGGTCGGAGGGGGAAGTTAGGCTTATGTATACAGTTCCATACATATATCCTGGTTTATAGTCTCCAATTATTTCTGAAAGTTTTAAGCTATTGAGTGCTACGTCATTAGCTGTGATGAGTTTGTTGATTTTTGATTTTAATTGGTTAATTTGCCAACTTTTTAAAATTTGTTAGGATCATCCATTATTTGTTGCATCTTTTAATAATTGCCAGATTTATTTAATATGATGAAGATATTGCTTTTATCTGCTTTTTTAAATATTATATTGTTGTGGTTATATAGTTCTTTAACTGCAGTTCTTTGTTATTTTGATAGAAGTCTGGATGATTTTTTTTCCTCTGTCATGCCTTTCTTTCATCGCCTCGGCCTTGAGTAGATCCCGGATTTCTGGTTTTGTATTTATCATTTACTGCTCTTCAAGTTTTTGTATACTTTGCATCAACATTTTTTATTTCAGTCTTTTTATCTAGTCTACTATATTTTTAGAGGGATAACAATAAGGTCAAAGGTTGAGTAATTCTTGTTGATGGTTCGTTAATTCATAGTTGGAAATGTTTATAAACTTGTCATTATTATTTGGAGGATTTATAGTTCTTTTGTACAATATACTAAGCTTCTTTTGGATGTTCAAACAATGTTGTATTTCAGACTTGTTAGTAATTTCTGTAAGTCTATATAGGATTTCCTCGAGTTGTTCATGACTAGTAATCAATTTTAGTTTGATGTGGATTTTTTGTGCTCTTTTATTGAGAATATTTATGTTGTCTTTTGTTATCTCAGTTTGCCGACTCACAAGCTTACATTTGAATTTCAAAGTGTTGGAGCTGTGATGAGCTGCTAGATCATGTAGTTTAAAATTTGTGTATTTCGGCAGCATATTTTCACTCAATCAGGTTTGGTTAAATAATTTAGACACAATATGTCTGTTTGTTTTTGTTTTAATCCTTTTAAGTCCATGAATCAATTTCTTGGTAGCTGTAGAAAATTGATTAAAAAAAATATCAAAATTTTCTTTCCAATAATTTTTATTTTCCCAAGTACTTTCAGTCTCAGCTGAGACAATCTTTAGGGGGTTAAATTGCCTGTGTATAGGTATTTCTGTAAATTCAAAACACTTTTACTATTCATTTTACTGTTGTATCATTCTATATAAATTTCAGATTCACAAGGTTTTTTTTGTATGCAAGGGAGGCAACTTTTGTGTTTCCTAATTTATTAATATTTTTATTTTCATATATATATATATATATATATATATATATATATATATATATATATATATATGAAAATTTCTCAGAGTTAACCTGTAGAAAAGACAATATTTATAAATATAAATGACAATAGGAAAACTGTAGTAGTTGCTGACACGTTTCATCCAATGTGGACTTTCTCAAAGCAAAAAACGAAATGAATTTATTTAAACAAAGTAACTAATAATAACAAAAATCAAAATGTCCTTAGCAACTGGAAGAATTTAGAGAACGCTATTTTCATACTGTTAACTGAAAATTACGTCAATTACTGTCACGTGTAGAGATATTGTTATTATTGCTGTGTTGACAGGCGTCCTCTAAATTCTGTAGCTGGAATTGGAACTCACCTCTCTGATTAACAATTCTGAGCCATTATCTGCTCACATCACCTGGTATTCTCAATTGGTTACCCATCAAGGTACTGACCAGGCTTGATGCTGCTTAACTTCAGTGATTGTACAGGAACCAGTGCTTCGATGTGATGTGGCTGTAAACCTTAAAAAATGAATTCAGTAAATATACACACATAGAAAAGGATGTAAGGCAAGGATATGCCTTCTCACTGGACTTATTCAACCTTTACAGTGAGGCAATTCTGAGAGAACTAGAAGTCCTACCAAGATTCATTATCAGCAGCAACAATCTTAACAATATAAGTGAATGACACTGTGTTTATAGCAGCCACAGAAAGAAAACAAGAACTACAGAAGGTAATGAAGGAAACAGTGAAGATGAACTAAACATCAATTGCTAGAAGATAGAATGCATGGTTGTTAGCAAAAGGATGAGTTCAAAATGCAAATTACAAATTAGGAATACTAAAATCAAAAAAGTACAAACATTTAAATATTTAGAAAGTGTTTTAATATAGGACAGAGAGTGGCCTTCCAAAAGTAAAGTATTAAGAAATAGAAAAATTTAATTAGAAACAAAAACATGAATACAGAACTCTTATATATCAGTCCTTCTGTATTTCTTCTCAAGGACAAAGAAAATGTATAAATTCATTTTCATATGTTTAGGTTTTATTTCAAGTCTAATCATTGCTTTTTTTAAAAAAAAAAACTATAAACATCGCTGAAAGTGAAAGTAATTAAAAAAGCAGTGACATGAGAAAAAATGTCCTTTTGACACTATGTCATTTTGGGCCTGTTTCTTCATGTTTGATGAACTTTCTTCTGGTTTATTGATTTAGGAGAAGACAAGAAAAAGACCAAATTTACTAAAAGCTACAAAGGACAGGAAATTGTGAAGAGCCATGATTGCCAACGTCCTGAAGGGACATGGCACATAGAAGAAGAAGGGGCTTGTGTAAATGGATGGTAGAACTGGGTATAAGAGAGATAAGAAAAAGATAAAATTTATTAAGACCTACAAAGGATAGGAAATTATGGAGAGCCATGATCACCAACATCCTGAACGGACATGGCACATAGAAGAAGAGGCTTGTGTAAATGGATGACAGAATAGGGCTTATGAGAGATAACAAAAAGACCAAATTTATTAATAGCTACACAGGACAGGAAGTTGTGGAAAGCCATGATCACCTTCGACCTGAAGGGATATAGAACACAGAAGAAGAACAGGCTTGAGTAAATGGATGGCAGAATAAGTTTTATAAGAGTTAACAAAATATGCAACATTTTGTAAGAGCTACAAATGACAGGAAATTGTGGAGAGCCATGATTGCCAACATCCTGAAGAGACATGGCACATAGAGCAAAGAGAAGATCATAGTGTTTCTTACACAGTTGCATCAACCTAGAATTTCTAACATAGACAAAAGGTGAATAAACGTCACTTGATAATAATAACCAGTTATTCTTGAAGCAGTTGGAATTCTGATTAAAGCTGAAAGGTAATTCAGAAGGATAAGTTGAGGCCTTATATTTTTAGCCTGTAGTTGGCCTTGAGAAAGAAAATCCATTTAGATAATTAAGATAGAAAGCAAATGCCGACATGGCAGATTTTTAAAATGCCAATTTTAGAGACAATGAGAAAAAAAAAATTGGAAAAACAGATAGACACATTTTTGTATATAAACTGGAGATATTGTTAAAATCAATTAGAAAATTAATACTTAGTTATTTTTAGCACAGAATTATCATATTAATGAAATTAGACGCTGAACAGATTTGATCAAGAGTCATTCTTTTATTATCATCATCATCATCATCATTATTGTGATTTTCTATTGTTATTTTTATTAGCTTAATCATCATCACCATTATCATTATTGCCATTTTCTATTATTATTTTTATTAGATTAATCATCACCGTCATCATTATTGCCATCATCATCATTGTTCATATTCTTATTATCTTAATCATTATCACTGCTTTTATCATTATGATCATCATCATTGCTATCACCATCATCATCATTATTGCCATCATCATCATTATTGCAATCATCATCATCATCATCATTGCTATCATCATCATCTTTGCTATCATCAAAAAAATAATTATCATTATCATTGCTATCACCACGATCATCATTATTGCTATCATCATTGCTATCATCACCATCATCATCATTATCAACATCATCATCATTATCATTATTATTATTGCCATTATCATAATCGTCATTATTATTGTCATCATCATCACCACCACTATTATCATCATCATTGCCATCATCATCATCATCATTGCCATCACCATCATCATTGTGCATATTCTTATTCTTATCTTAATCATTATCATTTTTATTAGTAGACTAGTTAATTTAAGTAGTGCTACTGGCACACAGTGAACAACATTCTGTTGTTCATGGTGCTTACCTGTATCATTACGGTTAGACAAAGGTGAGAATGTAGGTTATGGTCACAGAAAATGCATGAATTTTAATGCTTCCAATAAAAAACATTATCTGTGTATAGTGCAACCAGTCACCAAAAATACATAATTTTTAACCTCCTGAAAAAAATTGCCTGCGTATAGCGCAACCACCTATTTTTTATTCACACTATTTGTATTTATTATATTTGAACTATTTTCTTCATCTTTATTGTTGTTAGCACAACATTTCAGCCATTGTGCCCTCTAGCCTTCATCAGGTGTATGCCGATCTGGGTAACTGCTGTAGCATATCTACAAATGATAATGGGTATGTCAACATTCACATAAATGCAGTAGTAAATGTTGGTCTGCAGTTGGAGATTCATTTGTGGAATTCACTTGACTCACTTCTAGCAGTTGACTACTTCTTCTACATGCTGCTGATGAATCTTATATGTGTTGTTCTTGTTCTAAGTATTATCATTCATTACCCACCGTCATTTGATTATTCTGTTCTGTAATCTTCCCTAGGTTACAACAGTAACCTACAAGGAATTTTGAACTGAACCCTTCATTTAATCTGAGGTTAGACTGTTCTTGTTCCACTGCTCATGTCTAGTGATATTGTTTAGTTATTTAGTTTTTACTCACCCATTCCCGATGAGTACAAGTACAAACTAACCCAGGGATTGAACTCACAATCATCATGTCACCAAATTCACAAACCAATGTTTTAATCCATTAGGCCATTCCCTCATTTTTTTGTGTAAAAAATTGATCATAAAAACTCACATTATACTCAAGTATATACAGTAATTTAATATATTATTATTATTCCATTTATTGGCATAGGTTCTTTGACTTTCTATAACTTTCATAACCTTTTCAGCCATTGATTTTCTTAAATTTTCTTTTGTTTTGATTTTTTAGATTATTCTCCACAATTTTTATTGTTTCCTTGAGATTTTTGAGTGAATATCATTTTCCATTTAATAATAGACCAGAATTTTTATACAGCTTTGATATCTGTAAAGGTGGGGGCCTATTCTATTAATTTAGCATTTTTGAAACCATTTTAGTGATGCTAATATGGGTAATGATGCAAATGGGATTGTAATGATAAGAATAATAATGACAATAATAACAATAACAAATATATACTGTAAAAAAATAAAGATGTGACAGTCAGCCATATATTGTGTAAATGCAGTGAGTCAACCAAGAAAGAATACATGTTGATTGGTTTTACAGTATACCAACATTTTATGGGTCATTTAATCCTGAAATAAGAATATTCAGTTTCGTAAGAGAGTAAAAAGAAACTTTTCTCATCCAAATCCATCTTGCACATTTATAAATCTACCATTCATCTGTATATTGAATACTGCTGCCACATATTACAAAATGTGAAGGCCAAGGCCAGAATGGTTATCAAGTGCCTCATGGGCATGGTACTCTGATAGTGATGGATTGCCTTTGCCTGGGTTTTGGATATTAAGTTCAAAATAACAATGAATTCAACAGAGGGCCATACCCAGTTTGAGAGACTAAGACACTCTTCTAATAAAAATGAATAAGTAAAAGAAATCATCCTTTTTTTGTTGATACCATGCCTGTTCAACATGTACAGCGAGGCAATTCTGAGAAAGTTGGAAACCCTACCAGGATTTAGCATTGGCGGCCACAATTTCAACAACATAAGATGTATAGATGGCACAGTACTGATAGCAAGCATGGAAAAGAAACTACAAAATCTTCTACAGAAGATAGCAACAGAGAGTGAGAAGAAGAGACTAAGCTTAAACTACAAGAAGACAGAATGCATGGTCATCAGTAAAAGGATGAGCCCGAAATGCAATTTGCAGGTCGGGAACACTAGAATCAAGCAGATGTGGAAGTTTAAATATCTGGGAAGCATTTTGACAGAAGATGGTAAGTGCGACACCAAGATCCATAGATGGATTGGGATGACCAAAGACACATTCCAAAAGCTGGGCAGAGTATTGCGAGGCAGGAGGATTTCTTTGGTAACAAAGAAAAGAATACTGAGCTGTTACGTTACATCTGTCCTTCTTCACGGCAGTGAATGCTGGACAATTTCCTCAAGGATAAAGAAGAGACTCAAGGCAACAGAGATGTGGTTCTACAGAAGGATGCTGCGGATTTCATGGAGCAAGCATGTGAGCAACAATGAGTTCTTGGAGAGGATGCAGACAAGGAGGACGCTCATGCTTAACATCAGGAAGAGGCAGTTGAAGTTTCTGGGACACATAATGAAGAAGGAGAGCCTTAAGAATCTGATACTCACAGGTCAAATAGAGGGAAAGAGAGAAAAGGAAAGCATCACATGACATTCCTGAGCAGGTGGATGACAGAACGTGGTGTGGGGGAGATAGCAGAGGGAAGGAACTTGTTGAGAGCTGCAAGGGATAGAGGCAGGTGGGGAGACATGATTGCCTACATCCTGAAAGGATATGGCACATAAAAAGAAAAAAAGAACCAGATCCCAAAGATGACTCAGAATGAAACATATATCTGTTCTGGTGTGGGTCACTTCGACATGATGTAATGGTTAACAAGATGGTCTTGCTAGACCAATTATGACTGAGCAGTGACTTCAATCCTCATTGGTTTCCCTATATTTTTGACCTTGTGCCACATCTAAGCTATGCTTAGAAACTCACTACTGGCCACTTTGATGTGGTGTAATGTTTAGCAAGCTTGTCTTGCTAGATATCATATCACTGAATAGTGAGTTCGATCCTCACTTGGGGCTCTATACTTTCAGTGTTGTGCCACATCTAAGCTATGCTAAGAAAATCACCATATCTGTTCTAGTGCTTATGTTGTTTATCTCAAGATTCTTGACAAAATTTAAAGAACGGTATGTAATGTAGAGAAAGACAAAAGAAATCTGTGTCACCTGGATATAGATAATAGTACATTATTGATTGGTAATATGTTTCAATAATTACCTATACAGTCAACCTGTAATCAGCATTTTCTTGATTTAAAGTCCCCCATGTTAAATTAATTATATTTTGTTATTAATATTTTCCCACCTTGGATAAACCTAATGAAGTGTTTGTGCTGAATGAAACAGGTTGCTGGAAAACACGGCGTAGCATTCTTTGTATTCCTTCTTGTTCTCTCAAGCATGCTTTATTGGGCAAAAGTGTTGATTCCGTAACTATACACCTAATAACAATATTTTCCTGCCAAAGAGGCCAGTAATATTGCAGGGGAAAATGGTGGTCTTTGATGCTTTTTAATCAACAATTCCAAATTGATCGTATTTTTTCCTCTCTACTTATTTCTGTTATTCTCTTTCTCTCATTGTCCCTTTCTATCTTTATCTATCTTCATTTGTCTCCCTATATTAGTTCCTTTCTTTATTTCTGTCTGTAACTATCTTTCTCTCTCGTTGGCTTTTTTTCTTTATCTGTCTACCACTCTATTTATTTGTTCCTCTACATCTGTCCCTCTCTCTCTTTCTGACTGTCCCTCTCACTATTTCACTCTGTAACTATCTTTACTCTCTCATTGTTTTTGTTCTCTCTTTATCTGTTAACCACTCTCTTCATTTGTTCCAGTATATCTATTCTCTCTAAATTTCTTTCTGTCCCTCTCACTATTTCTCTCTGTGACTCTCTTTCTGCTTTTCTCTTTTTATCTTTCTAACACTTCCTTCATTTGTCTCTTTATTTCCATTTCTCACTATATTTCTCTATGTCTCTCTCACTATTACTCTCTCTCTCCCTCTCATGGTTCTTTTCTCTTTTTATCTCTCCATCACTCTCTTCATTTGACTCTCTTTTTCTGTTCATATCTATATTTCTCTGTCCCTCCCACTATTTGTTTTTTTCACTCTTGCACATTATCCTTTTCTCTCTTTAGCTATCATGCACTTCCTCTCTATATTTCTATATTTTCCTCTTGCTATTTCTCTCTGTGACTCTCTCTCTCTCTCTCTCTCTCTCTCATTGCCCTTTCTCTTTTTATCTCTCTCTTCACTTGTCCCTCTCATTTTGTTCCTCTGTATATTTTGTCCATCTCACTATTTCTCTCTGTCACTCTCATCTCTGTCTCTGCCCCTTCCTCAAATATATCACTCTCTTTTTCTATTTATTCTTCTTTCTGTCTCTCTGTTGGTCTCTATTACTCTTTCTGTTCCTCTTTCTGCATCTCTTTCTCTCTTCTTCTCTTTATTTGTTCCTCTTTTTCTCAGTTTTCTCTCTTTTTTGATCTCTCTCTCTTTTTATGACTTTTATTTATCCCTTGTTCAATTCCCTCTCTCTCTCTCTCTCTCTCTCTCTCTCTCTTTAATTGTTGCTTTTTCTCTTTATGTATTCATCTCTCTCTCTCTCTCTCTCTCTTTAGTTGTTGCTTTTTCTCTTTATGTATTCATCTCTCTCTCTCTCTCTTTCTCTCTCTTTAGTTGTTGCTTTTTTTCTTTATGTATTCATCTCTCTCTCTCTCTCTCTTTAGTTGTTGCTTTTTCTCTTTATGTATTCATCTCTCTCTCTCTCTTTCTCTCTCTTTAGTTGTTTTTTTTTCTCTTTATGTATTCATCTCTCTCTCTCTTTTCTCTCTCTTTAGTTGTTGCTTTTTTCTCTTTATGTATTCATCTCTCTCTCTCTTTCTCTCTCTCTCTTTTAGTTGTTGCTTTTTCTCTTTATTATTCATCTCTCTTTCTCTCTCTCTCTTTAGTTGTTGCTTTTTCTCTTTATGTATTCATCTCTCTCTCTCTCTTTCTCTCTCTCTCTTTAGTTGTTGCTTTTTCTCTTTATGTATTCATCTCTCTCTCTCTCTCTCTTTAGTTGTTGCTTTTTCTCTTTATGTATTCATCTCTCTCTCTCTCTTTCTCTCTCTTTAGTTGTTGCTTTTTCTCTTTATGTATTCATCTCTCTCTCTCTCTTTCTCTCTCTTTAGTTGTTGCTTTTTCTCTTTATGTATTCATCTCTCTCTCTCTTTCTCTCTCTCTCTCTTTAGTTGTTGCTTTTTCTCTTTATGTATTCATGTCTCTCTTTCTCTCTCTCTTTTTAGTTGTTGCTTTTCTCTTTATGTATTCATCTCTCTCTTTCTCTCTCTCTTTAGTTGTTGCTTTTTCTCTTTAATCTATTCATCTCTCTCTCTCTTTCTCTCTCTTTAGTTGTTGCTTTTTCTCTTTATGTATTCATCTCTCTCTTTCTCTCTCTCTCTTTAGTTGTTGCTTTTTCTCTTTATGTATTCATCTCTCTCTCTCTCTTTCTCTCTCTCTCTCTTTAGTTGTTGCTTTTTCTCTTTATGTATTCATCTCTCTCTTTCTCTCTCTCTCTTTAGTTGTTGCTTTTTCTCTTTATGTATTCATCTCTCTCTCTCTCTTTCTCTCTCTCTCTTTAGTTGTTGCTTTTTCTCTTTAAGTATTCATCTCTCTCTCTCTCTCTTTAGTTGTTGCTTTTTCTCTTTATGGATAAATCTCTCTCTCTCTCTCTCTATTTCCCTCTCTTTCTGTTTGCCTCTTTTGTTGATTTCTTGTTATTTGTACTTCGTCATCAGTCCTTACATCTCTCCTTGTCATCTCTATTTACTTCTCTCTCTTGACTCCCTCTAGCTTTCCTCTCTTTTATTTGCCCTTCTCTCTCTCTATTTAATCCCTCTTTCTTTTTATCTCTGTCTCCTTTTTTTTCTTCTCTATCATGTCTTTCTCTTTCTTTCTATTTCTCTCTTTATTAGTCCTTCCCTATTTATCCTCTTCTTTCCTTTGTAGTGTCTCTCTCTGTCTCTTATTATATGTACCTTTCCATCTTTCTCTATTTTTCTCTTTTCTGTCTGTCTGTCTCTCTCTCTCTATCTATTTCCCTCTTTATTTCCTATCTCTATTTGTCCCACCTTTCCCTGTCTTTCTATGTCTCACTCTCATAATTTGTACTACCATTCTATCTGTTCTTATTTCTTTGTTCCCTTTCTATCTCCCTCACTCTCTCTTTCAATTTCTCTCTTTACTTGCCCTTCTCTATATACACTACTCTATCTCTCTCTATTTTTATTTCTACTTCTCTGTCCTTTTTTTCTCTTTGCCTTCTCTCTTTTCCTCATTCACTTTTTGATCTTTCTCTTCCTTTCCCCTCTCTCATGTTTCTCTCTCTTTCCATGTCTCTCTTTATTCATCCTTCTCTCTCTGTTTATCCCCTCTTTCTGTTTATCTCTGTCTTCCTTTATTTGTACTTTTTCTTTTTGACTCCTCCCTTTCTCTTTCTTTTTCTTTGTCTTCTCATATCTCTCTCTCTCTCTCTTTTCATTTCACTCTTTTTCCTTCTTCATTTATCCCCTCTTTCCTATTTGTCTCTCCCTGTCTTTCATTATTTGTACCTCTCTATCTGCCCTTATATTCTCTTTATCCACTCTTTTTTTCTTGCCCTCTTTTTATTTCTCTGTCTTTTATGTCTCCCTCTCATTAATTCTACTACCTCTCTACCTGTCCTTATTTCCTTCTCATCTCTCTCCCTCTCTTTCAGTTTCTCTCTCTACTTGTCCTTCTCTCTCTCTCTATTTATCTCCCTCTGTCTGTTGTGTTATTTGTACTTCTCTCTGTCTTTTTTTACTCTTTTCCTCACATATACTTTCATCTCTCTCTTTCCCTTGCCCCCACTCTCTCATGTCTCTCACTTTACACTTCTCTCTTTATTTGTCTTTCCCTCTCTCTGTTTATTCTCCTCTCTCTGCTTAAACAAAGATATAGGTGATTACCATTTCCGCTTCTGTTATATGTTCATTTAGCACAAATCTTAACTTCTAAACAACAGCACCGCAGCTGATGATCAAAGATATACTATATAACTCTTCATATTCCTACACACACACACACACACACACACATCCTCAGTCATCTTTCAACCCCTGCATGTCCTTTTCTTCCTCTACACACACCCTCTCACTTCCCCCACTTACATATCTTATAATGTGTGGGAGGGAAAATACAGCCTGAGTTGAACTGAGTCTGATTAAAGCATTGCTGGCAGTGAGATGTGACTGCCATGTAAGAAAGGATTCTCAGCTGATACTTTAGTAATGACCATATTGCGGAAACACTTTTCTGAAAACTTCACACTTTTACTCAAGTAAAATTCAAGAAAGCAGATTTTTTTTTTAATTCACCCCAAGCAAGGTGATAATGCCACTAAGACGCAATGGTCTATGGGGGAGAGAAAGCGAATGAGACAACTAATGTTTACTGTTCAATCAATGAATATCAAATTTTATTTTTTTAATCAATTCACTCCAAGCAAGGTGATAATGTCATTAAGACTACAAAGGGTGGAAGAGAATAAGGCTTTAGAAGGAACCAGAAACCCAATCATAAACAGAAAACAAGGGATAAACCTCTACTCCTGTTCAAAAGCCTGGGGAGGAGTGTGAACTGTACAATAGCTGAACCTATCTACTCATATTGAGAATAAATAAATAGTACATCTAATTTCAGAATACAAATGGAGATGTTAGAAGTATAGAGTTGAAATAGAATTTAGAAAGAATTGGAAACCCAATCTTAAATAGGAAACAAGGGATAGACCTCTACTCCTCTTTCCGTAGACCAAAATCATTTTATTGGATTTTTTTCATATGAGATTTTTTAATATTATACATTGATTCATTGTCATAGTGATTTTTAAAAACATGTGAGCACAGTCTATTATAGTTATTTTAGAATTTTAAAATTTTATCCATAGGTAGTTATAGAATTTTCACAAAATGTGTTTTTAGAAATCACTATTACAACAGAATTATATCACAGTTACAACAGCATGTTTGTCTTTATAATCTACCCCTGAAGATGATCTTAGAAAAGGTTGAAAGTACTTGGGTTAACAAAACCTATGGCTCCTTCCTTGATGGATTTCATTTCAACATCAAGAAACTGATTAGACAACTTGAAAGGATCAGTATAGAAATAAGTAGACATTAATATATATATATATATATATATATATATATATATATATATATATATATATGCATGTGTATGGAAACATAGTGAAGTAATGGATTGTGGCACAGATTTAGAAATTGGAGATTTGAGTTCAAAGTACAGTTGTGTACAATTGGAGCCATTGCATTCATGTACATGCCAATACCCTTGAGAAAGGTATGAATCTCTTTTCTCCCCTCAGCTATGGGTAAATAGCAGCAGGATATACTGGGTTCTATAGCCTTGGGTGGCAACCGATCTAAGAGAAGGAAAACTCTGAATTCAAAACCTGAGGAGAGTTGTTTGGGAAGCTAGTCGCATACTGTGCACCAGTTCTCTGTATCCGGTTCTTCCCAAAAGTATGATTGGTTCTGCACAAGCCCTCACCACTATAAACAAGTGATATGTGTGGGTAGTCTGGTTGTTGGTTCTAAGAACTGAACTACTTGACCCACATACGTCAAAAATGGCAGGAGAGTCCAGTATATATATATATATATATATATATATATACCCAAATACAGTGTTGGTACAGATGGGATAAAATTCTGATAACCAAAAACACTATTCTTAAAAGAGTGCTCAATACCAAGTAGAGCAAATAATATTTATTCAAAATTATAACATATGCATTTTATAACATTATTACAAAAATTACAGTTTTGTTTCAATACTTCTGGTGTCTTGTCAAGTGATGGTGTTGATTTAAAAAAAGTTTTTTTTTCACAATCAACACCATCAGTTGATAAAAATATCAGTAGTGTTGAAATAAAATTGCAATTTTTGTAGTGATGTTATAACATGCATATGTTTGAATATATATATATATATATATATATATATATATATATATATATATATATATATATAATTATTTATTAAAAAATATGATTCCAAAATTAGCTATTGTTTTACATATTTCTAGCCTTGTTTATAATTTTCCATTTATAAACAAGGCTAGAACATGTAAAACTTGGGATGACCCATGCCCTTTGTACCTCCATGAAAAATTGCACATCATTAAGCTTCAAAATAATAATAATCTATTAAACAATAGACACGAGTTAACGGTTTTTTGTAGACATCATCAGATTTTTGGTTTGAATTATTAGCTAAAAAAAAGCATAATATAATAACTTGTTTAATCTATAGCCCAATCATCAGATTCATGGTTTGAATAATTAACTAAAAACATGCATACAATAACACCCTTCATAATCCATAGCCCAAATAAATAGTTTAAATACCCTACAAAAAAGATAACCCTTTATGAAGTCGTCAAAAAAACAAACGTTACGACAGTTTTTTTTAAATGCACAAATCCCTTTCATAAAAAAATAAAATAAAAAAATTAATAAATCTCCATAGACATGGAAACTAGACGAAGGTTAATACATCTTCCGTTTCAAATTTAGACACCCCCACCGTTCCCTGACTTGACATCTATGAAAGTAACTCTATACTGATACTTATTATTAACACCCAACACCCGCCTATCCAATTTAAACAATTCGCCCTAGCTGTTACCATGGAAATTTTGATTTCAATTTTTAAAACACGTAAATTTCAGATATACGTTATTCAAAAAAAAATTTCGCTTGAAGATGGAACAGAGCTTATTTTAACTCGATTTTAATTTAAATAATTATATTGAAGTTTTCGGCTCTTGTTTTGAAACATGAGACTTCTTATGTAGCGTTTTGGAATCTTATTTTTAAATAAATAATTATATTTATGCTCTACTTTTGTATCGAGCACTATTTTTTAAAAATAATAACTAAAATACTAAGGGACTTTGGATTATTTACCTAACCAGTTCCTTCCTATTTTCTATAAATTTTCACATATATATATATATATATATATATATATAAGGTACTTTATTATAACATTTTGGTTACTTTACCTTCTGGCTCTCATTCTGGCTGACTAAAAGAGATGAATTATCGTTGCTATTATGGATGGATTGATTCCTTTAGACCAATTTCTTTGTTTTCCTTTTCTTTATTATAACAAAAAGAATTTTGTGCATATATAAAAACATTATTCAATAAATTATCCTCAGCCTCAAGGATCCTGTCAGAGGCTGAAGATCAAGAAGAACCACCTTATCTTAGTATGGAGTCACTTTTGACTCCAAGTTCTGATAAGGTGGTTCTTGTGCTGGCCTTCACACCCAAATTGGAAAACTTCAATAACTATTG